AGATATATTTAGATATATATAGATATATATATATATCTCTCTCAGAATGTATAGTAAAACCAAAGTTTTGATAGACTGTCACTTTACATTAGTCTTAGAAATCATTTCTTGAAGCTCCACCATGGTTTATATTGTTTTCCCCCTTCACAGATTGACTTTGTGGCGCATGATGACATCCCTTACTCATCTGCAGATAGTGACGACGTTTACAAGGACATCAAAGATGCAGGTCAGTCTCTTCTTCTGTTACATGTTGTAAAGCATACACAGAAATGTGTTTGTTATATCATATCTGTATAATGCCATGTAGCAGAAATTCTCACTCTTACTGTCATTACCCAGGGATGTTTGCACCAACCCAGCGCACAGAAGGAATCTCTACGTCTGACATTATTACTAGGATTGTACGAGATTACGATGTCTATGCTCGCCGAAATCTTCAGCGTGGCTACACTGCAAAGGAGCTTAATGTCAGCTTCATAAATGTGAGGACCGCTAGTTTTCTTTTTTGCAGCTTGTGCTTTGGGAAATATACATCCCAGAAAAGATCTGCATTTCCCCCAGCAGATTCCGAGCTCCACTGGAAAGTGATAGATGGAAAATGGTGGACTGCTTGCTATTAGGCGTTACAAGAAGATGTTCTAGAATTGATTTTGATGCATTTGCCTCATTATTGTAGTTATAGCTTATGTTGCATACTTCAAAATTCCAAGCTGGTCTTCGACATAAAGTATACCTCCCAGGATGCCTTTTCAGTTCTCAAAATTGAACCGGCTCTGAATTTACTGCAGATAGTAATTTTATAGCACTTTGAAATCATAACCTGCTGAGATAGGAACACTTAAATTCGCTGTATTGTTCCTAATGCATGGAAATGTATTATAAGAGCATGACTGACCCTTTGCCCCAAGTGAATCATGTTTAAAATTGGCATGTTTCATAAGGCAGTAAAATGGGCAAAGGCGATGTGCAAGGTTTTCATCGATGCAGAGTTGATAAAACAATGAAGAATGCTAATTGGCCACAAAGGTTACTGCTTTTTTTCATACCCAGTATTCAGCAGTTGTGAAAACAAAACACATGTCAGTCCACAAAAAATGTACATACATGAGTATTATTGGCAAAGTTAGGGAATCTGCATCTGGCAATCCAGCAAAGTGTTAATGAAAGTTGCTCCTGCATTTCCTAACTTTGCAGGCTATTAGGAGCTCTGTGTGGCTGGGAAAAGGTGATTTCTCTTTGGAAATGGCTGGTGTCTTCCACTAGCATTAGAGATACTGTATTAGGGACTGTAACATCTTCTAAGAAATACTTGTCGGTATATCTAATGGACTAGAATCTATTTTAAAGGCTGCACAGTGATTACCTCTGAAAAAGACGGTCTGGTATCATGCCAGGTGATATTGTCTGCTTTGCTCTGATTTCAGGAAAAGAAGTACAACCTGCAGGAACGTGTGGATAAGGTGAAAAAGAGAGTGAAGGATGTAGAAGAGAAGTCGAAGGAATTTCTGGAAAAGGTAGAGGTGAAAAGCATAGACTTGATCCAGAAATGGGAGGAGAAGTCCAGGGAATTCATTGGAAACTTCCTGGAAATGTTTGGCCCAGAAGGAGCTTTGGTAAGTGAGTAGACAGTAAAATCACAAACAGAAGCTTGCATGCTTGCAATATGCTCCCACAGGCTAGAATTTTGGCCTATGGGATGTGACCCAAAGTTTAGAAAGGTAATTATACCTCTTACCCATTTCATGACAATAGGTCATTGAAGTGTAGATGTCCTGAATGTGCCAGTTAATTTGACAAGAACGGTGATTTAATTTGCCTTTTTGGTTTTGAATATTTTTTTTGCATTTGTAACGGCCTAGAAGGCTTTTATTTGCATTTCCTGTTTGTTTTAAAAAAAATGTGTTTTGGTTATTTTACACCTAACCATTTTTAATGACACATTTAAAACGTTTTAAATTAATTGTATTCATTTTGTACACTGTGACAGCTGCATTGTGCCTGCATAATCTGTCACCATGCTTCTCCCACGCGACAGCTGTAACCGGCAGGTTTATTTGTATGTGATCACTATGATTGGCTGTCACGGCGATCACATTTGGGAATCACCTTAGTGCACATTTCTAGTTTTAAAATGTAACCTAGTTTCGATCAGTAGCTGAGAATGCTAAATTACAGTTTCTTGTTACTACACATTATTTCTAAATATTCTTCTGTTACTGGTCAATCATTTGTATTTAAGCCAGCTTGGAGTTCTGCATGATCAGAATAACAAGTATTTCAACATCATCTGTATTTTACAGAAACACATGCTGAAGGAAGGCAAGGGAAGAATGCTTCAGGCCATCAGTCCTAAACAAAGCCCTAGCAGCAGTCCTTCGCGGGAGCGCTCTCCTTCCCCATCTTTCCGTTGGCCCTTCTCCAGATCCTCCCCACCGGCATCTCCAGGTAGAAGGTCTCGATCTGCGGCTGCTGCCTACGACATCAGTGAGGATGAAGAGGACTAAGTAGCTATCCTTTCCCTCTTGTGCAATCCTTCCCACCAGCCGCTGATTCCATATCATCTGGTCTCCAGGAAAGCAGCCACAAAGAAAGGAGGTTTAACTTGATGTAAACCCCATAAACCTGCGCTCACAATTCTGAAGAGGATCTAGAGAGCGTGGTGCTGAATAAGATGCTCGCTTCTTCCCCACAAATAACCATAACATTTTTGTTGCTTTTTTAATGAAACCAATCTGTCTTTTTAATGAACTAGACGTCCAAAATGTTTCTTCATCATTGATTTGTTTTCTATTTTTCCGGGAGGTTTTATCGCATGGGATTGTTGCACCTCATCATAACCGCTTTATTACTTGAACCCTGCACATCATTTCTGCTGCGAGCTCCCATTTCACAGGACTGTAAATGATTTTAATGACGGAGTTGTAGAAACCAGGTGGCACCGAGAATTTGTCTGTCTTTATATGTGTCGGTGTGAAGGCATTAATGACATTTTACTGAGATATGGGGGTAGTGACCAGTCACATACTTTCTATTTTAAACATTAAACATGGAATTTAGCCATTTCTCATTAAAAGTGCCTGTTGTCATAAAAGCTTTCTGTTTATCTCTTCTGTTCAGTTCAGCCTAGATAACGACAACAGAATTGAAGTGTGCAATGTATAACAAATTCATTGTGTCTGCTTCAGAAGAGTTTCAGAATAAACACTAGCTGTCTCAATAAGAGAAATAGACAGGCATCTGCTTGTCATCATGAACATCACATGACACAGAATCAGGCTATGTACCGCCACCCCAAAACTTGTCCAATTTCCATGGACTTCTTGCCCTGTGGTGCATGACCAATGACCTTTCAGTATTACTCTTGAGGCCCAGATCATCACTGTAACTAAATCTAATAATGAAACACAACATAACTTTTAACATGAACAGAGACCAACTGTTAAGTAAATATCTCTGATGAACCGTTTTAATAGTAGTCTTTGGGAGGCTTAGATTTTAACAGTGGTTCTCAACCCTGCTAGGGCCGGGACCCCTTAGTAACATTTGCCAAATTGTGGTGATCCCCAACAGAGAACTGGACTGTGGGCTAGGTAACGCACTGGACTGTGGGCTAGGTAACGCACTGGACTGTGGGCTAGGTAACGCACTGGACTGTGGGCTAGGTAACGCTCTGGACTTGGTAACGCACTGGACTGGACTTGGGACTAAAACAGAAGAACACCCATGAGAGAATACAAGCCCTCCCCAGTCCCTGCTTGCCTGCTCTGTCTCCGTGCAGCCTTCTCATCCTGCGCACTGTTAGGATGCCCCAGCTCCTGCAGAGCCCACACTAAAAGGGAGGCGGGAGGACAGGAGAAAAGTGCAGCTGTGCACACTCCCCGGCGGTGGCTGCTGCAGCAACATGACGAGCAGGGAGTGACTGGCACTGCTGCGCTAAGAGGAGGCTGAGGAGCCTCTCGTCTAGCGCAGCAAAAGGCACGCAGTGACCCACTCAACAGGGGGTTGCGACCCACAGGTTGAAAGCCACTGGATTATTAGAAAAAACGATTGATCTATAAACTGACTTCTACTAACAAAGGGATGGTAAGAATACCTGAATTCATATACTGTACTTTATTTCACTCTTGTATTTTCAAAATTGTTCTTCATTAATAAGAGAAAAGAGTTTTGGATATAAAGAAATTATGGTGAAAAAATTACTAGAGTAAGGGCTTGTGTCAAAAGCTTTGTTTACGTCAAATGGCATTCCCTTTAGAAGCAGGTGAAAAGTTGGTTAAGGGCACCTGTCAATGAATTCAGAAGCATCTGAAACTAATGCCATCAGCACAAACTCAAAGCCTGTTGACACTTCAGTGACAAGTTTCAGTAGATCCTAAAGTCATGGTATTGACCATAATGGCTCAGACGTCTCACTCCCTCTTAAGTATTGACATTGCGACTTTAATAAAAAGGCCAAGAACAGGGAAAAAGAGAAACCGTCAGAAACCTAGATGTGATAAATCGTAGTACAGTGATTACTGCTATCCGCAATTGCTTGTGAGGCTTATGCTTTAAACATATATTTAATACAACCCTCACAACTGGGTCAAGGCATCTACAGCCCTTGTTTTGCCAGAAATGGTATGGTGACATAAGGAGCTCATCCTAATACTGTAGCTATGGCATTCCTGATACCAATCATGCAATCTTGGCTCAATAAGGGCTTGTACACACCATGTCCAGACCAGACCAGACAAAAAAAAAAGCATCCCAATGTATCCCTGTGGTATTTCTGAGCTCTGTTCACACCAGTGCAGTCCGTTCCAGACCAGACAAAAAAAAATACTGCTAGTCTTATTTTTTCTGGTCTGGAAGGCAGGGAAACGCATCACAAACATATGCAAACACACTGGACTGCACCTGAAAGCCCATTTTAGGCTAAGAAAAAAAAAAAAACAGCTCCGGTACGTGGGGAATAATGCACTGCACTGCATTTGTAGATCTGCTCCAGACATGGTGTGAACCCGGCCTTAAGAGCAAACATAAAGCTCTGGCAAAACAAAAGGCAGGATTGATTCCATGTATGAAAGTGTATGTATAAAGAAAAGAGCAGTGATCCTGGACGTGGCCCATAACCTTATCAGGGTTAATGTTTTTGTTGATACAGCAGGAAGGACCTCAGAAAGAAGGTTGTGGAGTTTGGAAAGAAATGTAAAAAGATTTTCAAATGATTTGAAATGTATCATTCCACTGTAAGGAAAATCATTGGCATTGGCATTGATTTCAGACGACTGCTAATTTGTTCAGGACTGGCCAACAAAGCACATTCAGCAATGTGGGTACAGTATAGGTACACCAATTCTCTTATCCGGTATTTTCAGTTCTGCTTTACAACTACAGCACAAATAGGCAAGGCAGTTTAACATATCCACACTAAACATTTGCATGATGTTAAAACAAAGTTTATTTTTCCATAATTTGAAGGATTGTGGTTTATAATATTGGGCCCCTTTCATAAATATCTATAAAATGCCATCCAAAACTGTCTTATTAAAGGTTTGTAAACCCGTGCCACCTTATCAGTCATTCACAGCTGGGTAAGTGTATTATGTATGCGGTCACTGCACCTTGGCCTTTTTTTTGTAAAGAAGTTTCTAAAGTGTGTACCTCAGCACACAAACTGTATACAGTGCATCATCTAGTACATGCAGCATTATTGCTCTTTCATACAGACAGTGCCTTCGTTGTATAACCAGCGTATTCATCCTTCTTCCTGTAGGCAGTGCGTGCCAACACCGTCAGTATAAACGTCTCTATGATGATCAAATGGCTGTTCATCACTGAAAAGTAAAATGAAGAACAAAGTAGATCATTGCTGTGGATATTATTTGGAACCAATTGCAGAATATTCAGAACTAATCATTTGGTATTATTGCCAACATTAGTTGATTTAAGGAATGATTCTTAACTACGGTAAAGGTCATGTAGCAGGAAAAGCTTTTGAAAAGGTGTTTTTAACCGCAAGCTAGAAAATGAAACGGAGTATAACGCCAGTCCAATTTGTATTTTGAAAGAGTGGAGGTTTTTTTGTATGCTCTGTCCTCATTTTTAAGTATTTCCCCCACTTCCTGTCACAGCGATAGTGCTCATCGAGTCATGTGATCTCTCAATAAAATCACATTTTGATAAAATAAGGAGACTGTCTCATCAATTTTGATCACAAAATGGTGGGACTGAGGGGTGCTGGATCCACTAAGGTTGTTGGGTCTTAGTTTGGTCAGTTGTTGTAATGCGAGTAATTCTATAGGAAGCTCTGTGTAGTACAGAAGCCTCAGCAGTGTAGTAGAGGAAAAAGTCAGGGAGTGCCAGATTAGTCATATTGGATAAAAGAAGCCAACACATTTCAGGGGTTACAATGGCTCTCTTTCAGGGCTTTGGAAATGCATAGAAAGTACTTGTGAATAATAGGAATCTCCTTTAATTTTTCAGTTCGGAAGTTCTGGTGTCGTCGTTAGGAAGATTTCCCCCCCTACTCTCGAGACTGCACTAGAAGTGAACACGTACAACGGACACCCAGACAACCCAAAACATTTGATGAGGCCAAAGAGAAATGATATGGGATGTGATAAGCAGCTGGTGAGCATTCAGGAAATGTTATGTGAATAAAAATCCCTGACGGATGTGTGAACACCTTACAAGTTGCCTTCTCATGAGGCAATTCCCAAACAAATACAAATTTATTTTAGTTTCACGGCAAATACCAAACACGGGACAACATCTCGTATCTAATAGATCATAATATAAGCCTTTGGCCTTGAAATGATCTAATGGGCATTAGAAACTGAAAAGCCAGGCTACTCAAATATAGGGAAATGGAATGTGATTATGTAGCAGCCAAAGAAGAAAGCACGTTGGGGCAATCACTCTATTTAAAGTTTAAAAAGATATACACAAGAATCACACTGGCTGTTATGTGTTTGCTCATCACCAATTACTAAAATGATGTCAAATTGTTAAAGAAAAATATGCCAAAGGCAGAGTTGTCATCTATTCATTCAAACCAATAAAATATTAGAAATATACATTTCACGTAGCATTGAAAAAACAATACATTTGACCCCATAATTATGACTGGAATATGAAATCCTATTTATATGACATCAATCGATTACAGAAAGGACAACATAATCACTGAACAAATACTGATTTGCATACGTATGAGGCTAGAGCTAGAGTGTGAGCTATTTTCCCCTTTTTGTCTGTCTCCCTACCGCCTGTTGAAGCCTGTACACAAAGCCCAGTAGCCCAAGCTGAAATTTACACAAATTAGTCAAAGGAGTGACTCGCCTCTTATCAGACAGCTCTGTACAAAATGTAAACAACTCCGGGCAAAACTTTGATTAATCCTGGCAGTGAAGATAGCCCCGCTACAAATTATTTTTTTATCTAGAGGTTAAGATCAATGTCATTATTGATATTTACAAGATCAAATGGATACTCACTGCTGGCTCTGGCTCTATATGCATATGGGGGGGCACAGGGAAGAACTCCAAAAGTGCCCAAGAGATTGAAGATTGACGTTTGTAAAGTGGTGAGGATGAGAAGCGTCTGGAAAACAAAGGCAGAGCACAGATCCATCATTCTATTTTCAGCAATCGCAATACTAACAAACCTAGATTGGACATGAATGTCCTAATTCTCAGAGTCTTAGTATACCGTCCGAGGGCAATTTCTATATTTGCCGTTTCTGGGAGGAAATTCTTTTAGGCAGGCGGAGTTCTGCAAATAACAGTGCAGATGTGTAGAATGACAGCATATTACCCCAGCAAGTAGAAACTGTGCAAGGACCTGGAATGTCACAGAAAATGTGAGCTATGGCAGTGTTCCGCAACCTATTTTTAGTCTTGCACCCCTTGAAAAAATGCCAAATCTTGGGGCTCTGTAGTTTTAAATGTAAAAAAATGTAGTTTCTCACAAAATCTATACCAGACCCTTATACTAGATAGGGGTCTGGTATGAATTCTAAGGGGCAAAACAAAATAAAGATGTGGGGTTCCCCTCCTCCACCTCCTTCACATTCAAAACCCCCCATTCCCATCAGAGTCCCCCCTTTCACATGAAAAGCTCCCCTTTCATCAGAGTCCTACTTTATAATCATTACCACAATGTGGCTGTGACAGCATGTCAGAGGGCAGGACATGGAGCAGGTCTGGACAGAAACAGACTTTTGTCCTCATGCTCGGGGAGGTCCTGGATGCAGCCCACCCTGTATAAGCGTCATGCATTTCCATGGTGCTGGTGGCTGGCTTGCGTGCACCTTGGCAATCCATGACACTGGCCGAAAATTTTAAGGCACACCTGACAAAGCCAGAAGGCACCCCACTTGAGAGAGACTGATCCATGGGACCATGTGATTGAAAGAAGGACATATTAAGACAGCGTAAACCTTACCTGAAAAACTGCAAATTTTATTCCCATACTCTTCTCAGCCAAGTGAACTTTGGCCTCTCGGAAAAGTATTCCAATGGGCCACAATGCTAGAACAGTGCAGAAACCAAGAATAATGCCCATCCAGAAGGCGATGCTGCGACTTGATAGCTGCAAGACACAGAATGCACAAGATGACATCTACGCTATACATGCATTGCTGTTATACTGCTCATGACCTTTTATAACCAGTGAGATACCAACTGAAGGAAAGACAGGATGTGTTGAAGTGATGTGTAGTGGTTTTCTTTGCAAGAAAAGTGAATGTTTAAAAATAGTTTCTTTCATTTTTTTGGTCAGGTATACTGACACATGCACATAAAATATTTGATACTTTCACATGCAGCCAGCAGGTGGTGCTCTTGCCTCTTATTCCTATGACTTCCACTTTCTACTGACACCCTGCAGAAAAAAAGGCTGTGGTTCATAGAGCTCAGCGGCTCAAGCAGAAATTTACATACTCAAGTCAATGAGAGAACCTTCATCGTGAATCCTGTGTTCGTGTATTTTAAAGAAATACAAAAAAATATACATAACACTAGTTCAAAGATCGTAAATATAATAATGGCCTGAAACAGTTATTATTGTTCTTAGTATTATACAGGATTTATATAGCGTCAACAGTTTGCTTTACAGTGAAAACAAAGATAGCTTCTCTATGAAAGCATGTATGCAGTTAAAAATACTAAATATGAATGTAGATATGATGGCAAAGAGGTAAAGCAGGCCTCTGCTCAGTGGGCGGGGTTTCAGTAGCTAGCCTGCTATTGGCTATTGCAATTTAAAATTGCCATTAGCAGACTGGCTATTGCACCCACCCACTAAGCAGAGGAGTGGACCTGAGAGATAATGCTCTCTCTCAGATCCTCGACTCTGCACAGTGGGAGGGTAGAATAGTCAGTCTACTATTGGCTATTGCAATTAGAAATGGCCAATAGTAGGCTGGCTATTGAAACCCCGCCCCCAATGAGCAGAGGAACAGACCTAACGGATATAAAAAAAATTCTCAGGTCCACTCCTCTGCTCAGTGGGCAGTTGCAATAGTCAGCCTGCTATTGGCTATTCAAATTGCTATAGCAGGCTGCCTATTGCTCCCCATTGTTTACATTCTGCTGCTGTCTGCGGAATCTAGCTGCCGTCGACAGCAGAATGTAAACAAAGAATGTAAACAAATACTTTTGTTGGCAACTAAATCAATTCAATTTTAGCGTGCACCAAGCAAGCGACAATTTTTTAGTTTGTATCAAGTCACCGGCATAATATGTCCTCAATTTTTTTTTTGCCGGTTGCTTGAGGAGTTTACTGTATTAACAATAATGTATCTTATTTGTGTATCACTGAGCTGTAGGTCCTCAAATCATCTCTGAATTGGTGCCGACACTGTCCTTCCTTCTGGAGGGTGGCTACCTTTGTTCCCCATGGTCCCTGTGTGTGTTGTATAGAAGCCACCGCTCCAAGCTCACTCCTGTGATGGACTACAATCTCAATACAAATTAGTAAACTAAACATGAGATTGTAGTCCATCACGGGAGCAAGTTTGGAGCGGTGACTACTTTACAACACACATAGAGACCATGGGGAACAAAAGTAGAGAAGATGGCAACGCCAGCGACAGAGGAGGAGAGCGGCCTTCGCAGTGCTGAAAGGTAAGCCAGCCATAATGTGCTAATATACTGTCCATACTCGCACATCATGGCAAATACCTCCTGGGGGCCCAAACATTTCTCCTTTACTGTCACTTTTAGAGCACATATGAATGGCACAGACTCTGTCTATCTATATGGATAGCAGGCACATCATTCTATATATTACTGTAATCAGTTAAAAAAGTGCATGCCTGTCAATGACATGACTTTAAAGACTTTCTATAGAAATGGCAGCACATGTCCATGCATGCCACCCACTTTCCCAAAGCAACTGAAAAAAAACATGAACATGTTCTTTGGATCAAGCTGTAAATACTTCATAGGGATGTGGCATCAAATATAAATTGCAGTGATATTTCTGGAATCAATGACCAACATACATGTTCTAAATGATAATCATTTATGTAACAAACCTTGTATTGTTTTTACATTGTAAACATGATTACAGCACAAGTACACAGTATTCTCACTGAAGATTAGAGAAGTCAAAACAACTCACATCCTCCGCATTGTAAATTCCATCGGCTGCGAGAATCATACCAATAATATTAAAAGCTGGCTTCAGAAAGGCCAGCTGGAAGACGGCCAGGATAAAAAGGTTCACCTTCTTCCTGCAAAGCAAGCAGTAGGATTCAGCAGAATAAGTGAAGACACTCCCTGTTACATATTAGAAATGACTAGTCAGCAATCTGAAGATTCGGCATCGGTAAGCCATTAGAAGTAATAACGGTCAATAACGGCTATACATCACAAGAAGCACACACTACCTGATATTCACTACAGCACAGGATCAGAATACATATATTAGTAACAGTTCCAAGTTCTGCCATAATACATCATAGGAAGCCATTGCTTACATCCATCTGAAAATGCAAGTTCACATCAGTACATATCCTTCACATCCAGCGGCGGACCTAAGGAACAAAGGGCCCAGGGGCAAGATTTTTCTCAGAAGCAGGCCCGGATTCCTCACAAGGCCACCGGGGCCCGGCCTCGGGGCGGCAGGGCGCAGAGGGGCGGCAGCGGTATCCTTTGTACAAGCAGGACTGAATGTAGAGTGAGGCAGACGATTTTTCCTTTACATGTGAACTCGGCGATGTCACCGATTTCACATATAAACAGTGTGCAGCCTTCTCCCCCTTCCCCCTGCACTTACCTCTCTCCTTTGGTTCCGTCCTCCGCCGCCGAGTCCCGAGTCTCTGACTGCAGTGATCAGAGCAGCAGGGTTATAAGTAACCCTGCCGCACCGTGTAGATTGTAGACAGTGAGAGGGGAGAGCTGTGCTCTTCCTCTCTCACCT